GCAATCCACTCACCTCAGCCTCCCAAAGGCACAGGATTACAGGCTGAGCCACCAAGCCCGGCTTGAGATGCTATCTTTTAAAGAGATGTTATCTATATATTACTTTTCAAAGTGGAATTGGATTATGGTAGCAATGTATACACCACCAAGCCCGGCTAATTTATTTATTTATTTATTGTAGAGACAAGGTCTTGTCTTGTTGCTCAGCCTAGTCTTGAACCCCTGAGCTCAGGCAACCCTCTCACCTCAGCCTCCCAAAGTGCTGGGATTACAGGTGTGAGCCACCAAGCCCAGCCTCTTTTCTTCCTTCCTTCCTTCTTTCCTTCCTTCCTTCCTTCCTTCCTTCTTTTTTTTTTTTTTTTTTTTTTTTTTTTAGTAGGAGTCTCACTTGGTCACCCAGGCTGGAGGGCAGTGGCATGCTCCCAGCCACCACAGTCTCAACTGCTAGGCTCAGGCGATCCTTCCTCCTCAGTCTTCCAAGTAGCTGGAAATACAGATACGTGCCACCACGCCCGGTTAATTTTTTTATTTATTGTAGAGATGAGGTCTCATCAAGTTGCCCAGGCATAGGCGTGAGCCACCGTGCCCAGCCTCTTCTCTTCTTAAAAAAATGAGATTTCTTTCCTTTGAGACCACCTTTGACAAAATGCACACCCTTTGCTTTCCTGCCAGCTTCCAGCAAGCCTTCGCATTTTCCAGTTCTTTCAGTCGGCTCATCACGACCATCAACTACCTTATTCCAACCTCCTGGCCTCCCTTGAAAGTGGATACAATTTTTCTATTTGTTGAGATGGGGGATTATGACTTTCCCATGGTTCCACAGGGAGCCAATGACAGGAATTGAATTCCAACCCAGGTTTTCTGAATCCAGGGCTGATAATATTTTTGCTACCTCACAGCCACCTGCAAGACAACCTGTGAAGAAAGCCGGCAAGGTCTTTGAGTCGATGTCTGTGGGGACATAGAGGAGGTAAAGCGTTCTGTTAGCTTGAGGCAGGGATCCTTCTAAAATGGAGAAATAAAAAAAGGGGAAATAAGTTACTTCCTGCTGCTTTGTGCTTTCTCTTTGGTGGGCTTTTTACTTTGGTGGGCTCCATGTTTAAACTTTTAGTGGAGGCCGGGCTCAGTGGCTCAGCCTGTAATCCCAGCACTTTGGGAGGCCGAGGTGAGTGGATTGCCTGAGCCCGCGGGTTCGAGACTCGCCTGAGCAGCAAGACCTCATCTCTACAATAAATCAGAAAAATCAGCCGGGCGTGGTAGCGCATGCCTGTAATTCCGGCTACTTGGAAGGCTGAGGCGAAGGATCGCCGGAGCCCAGCAGGTTGAGGCTGTCGTGGTCAGGAGCGGCCACTGCACTCCAGTCTGGGTGACAAAGACTCCAACTCAAAAAAAAAAAAAAAATGATCCTTGTGGGCTGGGCACAGTCACTCAAGCCTATAATCCCAGAACTTTGGGAGGCCGAGGGGAGAGGATTGCCTGAGCCTGTGGGTTCAAGACCAGCCTGGGCAAGCAACATGGTGAGACCTCATCTCTACAGTAAATCAAAAAAATTAGCTGTGTATGGTAGCACATGCCTGTAGTTCTGGCTACTTGGAAGGCTGAGGTGGAAGGATTACCTAAGCCCAGGAGGTCGAGTCTGTGGAGGCCAGGAGCGTTCCACTGCACTCCAGCCTGGTAGACAGTGAGATCCCAGCTCAAAAAAAATTATCCTTCTGTTCCCTGATGTTTGCATTTCTATTTTCTTTCTTTTGGAGAAATAGTGCTGGTAAAGTATACATCATAAAGGGTAAATGCATAACCTATGTAATTGGAAAAGAAATCCTGCAGTTCAACAGTTAGGCTCTGTCCACAATTGAGAACTTTTTTAATGGGCAAGAACGTTTTCTCCTCATTATCACCTCCTTAAGCTGAATGTAGCTAGGAGGCCTAGACTTGGCCTTGAGGTTTTCTTTCAAGGTGATAATGAGATCGCATTTTGTCCAACTTTGTACCTTATTTTAGTTCTTGGTATTTGCTTTATTATTTCTCCTAGATTTTAAGTTGTTTTTGCAGGGACTGTGTCATTTTCAGTGTTGTATTCTTCAGTGTCAACCAGGCTCATGCCTGGCAATAAGAAGTGCTCAGGTAGTCAGACATCCAGAGTGGGGTTTCCAAAATGTCCCTGATGATGAAATCTGAGGGGTGAAAAGAAAATAAGAGTTTATCCTATCTTCAGGGCAGAAATAGATCTATATATTTATAATGGAGCTTTTTCTTTCTCTTTTTTTGTCGCCCAGACTGGAGTACAGCCTTGACCTCTGGGGCTCAGGCAATCCTTCTGCCTCAGCTGTTTAAGTAACTGGGACTATAGGCGTGTATGACCACACCTAATTTTTTGATTTTTTTTTTTTTGTGG